TCACAGCCCCTGGCACCCCTCCTCTTCTGGGAAGGTAGAGCGAATGAACCAGACATTAAAGAATCAATTAACTAAATTAGTGTTAGAAACCCAACTTCCTTGGGTAAAATACTTACTCCTACAGGTTCAAACAGCACCAAGAAAGGATATAGGAATTTCACCACATGAGATGCTGTTCAGATTGCTCTATCTGGGCAGGAGGGATGAGATACCACAATTCAAAACAAGAGAGTTTCCTTAAGACCTGTATTCTGGGGTTGTCCTCTTCTTTGTCATCTCTCAGGACCTGTGGGCTGTTGGCTCAAACCCCACATTTGGAGTTCCCCATTCACTACAGTCACCCAGGAAACCGGGTCCTGATTTGGACCTGGAAAGAGTCAACTCTGGCCTGAATGGGAAGGACCATTACTAACCACTGAAACAGCCATAAGAACTGTGGAAAAAGGTTGGACTCACTATACTCGAGTGAAGGAGTCCGTCAACCCTAGTACCTGGGAAGCTGTTCCTACAGAAGACTTGTTGGAAGTTGAAATCGAAGAGAAAAATCTCATAGTGGACTCTGAGCAGGATAAAAACTTACAATTGTAAACTAACCTTTTATTTTCACAGGTAACTAACTAGTGTGACTTGTGATTGAGAGAAAGGACAGACCTATAGTGAATTGCAGTGCTCCCAAGGGGGGGGGGGTTGTTATAGTAGTAGTGTACATCTTATTCTTTGTATTAATAATTATTTGGAAACATAAGGTTTAAAAATAATTACATGGAAAAATCGATTACTAATTTTGTTTTTAGTGATTCTAGGCCTCAGAGAAGGCCTCGGTCAATTGGCAACTTGGAAAAGGCATGACCAGATAATAGCAAAAACGGGATACCCCATCAAAATATGGGTGACTGTGACAGAGGGTTACGTACCACAATCCGTTATGTTTGATGCTTGTGAGGTGTTAGCTTGTGGAGATTTAAATGTCCAACGACAATTGACCAGAGAGAACAAATAACTGGGAGAGACCCAACAGCCAGATTGAGAATAGCTGTATGGAAACAATCCTCTATTGCCATCAGAGAAAGGGAGAAACTCAAGGAGAAAACAGGAGAGAAAACAGGAGGCCCTCTGAAATGTGGCAGTTCAAACATTTGAGATTCAAACAGGGTATGGGGATGTGAATGCCTGGATAGAATGGGTCAAATATACCGTCCAGTCTCAATCGTAGCTACTGCTATGCTTGTGCCTCGGGATGACCAATTGCCCAGATAGTGCCCTTCCCATGGGGGTGGACCAAGGATTCCCAGGGGATGCGATGTATGATTGCATTGTACCAAAAAAAGACTGCCTGGGGAAGTGAGGCCTGTAAGTGTCTCTCTTTGCTGTTCCCTCCCTTGCGTGATAGCAATATCAGGGTTCCCCCTGCATTCTCTACAGCTATAGGTAACCATACAGCCTGCCTCTCACGGCAGGGTGTGAGTGCTACTTGGCATCTGGGAGAATTTGCCTTGTGCTACCAAGGACTTGATGGGAAACTGCTCAAGACTAGAGATCCCCAGGGCAGATCTCTGGTGGTACAGTGGAGGGAAGATCTTACGGTCCACCCTACCATCTAACTGGGGAGGCACTTGTGCACTTGTTCAATTAGCTATACCCTTCACCCTGGCATTTGAAAGAGAAACATCGCAATTACTCAGAAGAAGTAAAAGAGGCTTAGGAATATCATTTGATGATAGAGTATACATAGATTCTATTGGCGTACCTAGAGGAGTTCCGGATGAACATAAAGCCAGAAATCAAATTGCTGCAGGGTTTGAGTCACTGTTCTGGTGGGTAACAATCAATAAAAATGTGGATTGGATTACTTATATCTATTATAATCAGCAGAGATTCATCAATTATACCAGGGATGTGATGAGAGGAATCGCTGAACAACTAGATGCCACCAGCAAAATGGCTTGGGAAAACAGAACATCATTAGATATGATGCTTGCGGAGGAAGGAGGTGTGTGTGTGTGTGTGATACTGAGCAACCACTGTTGCACTCATACCCAACAATACTGTCCCAGATGGCTCAGTAACTAGAGCATTGCAAGGGCTTACCACCCTTGCCAGTGAATTGGCAGAAAAAGTAGGCATATTTACATTCTTGATCGTAGTTGTAGGAGCTTTTCCCCCCCCCCCCCGCACCTGTTGAGCAGTCTCTTAGGCCTTAAAGAGCCATGTGGAACCACAGTCAGAAACATGTGGTGTGTCAGACAGTGAGGGAGCTGTGGGCTCGTTTACTGATCCGACTGGTACACCATCAGCCCCCCTGCCGCTACTGCCATCTCAGGCCTTTGCTGTTACACCCCTTGGTGACCTGGATGTGCCTTTTGACCCAGGCCCTATTGGCCTTGAAAAGGCCCTATTGGCCTTGAAAAGGAGACCCAGGCCCTATTGGCCTTGAAAAGGAGACTGATATGTTTTTCTTGGATCCGGGAAGGTTAGGATACATAAGGCCCGAAGACCAAGTTGCTTAACAACTTAAAGCAAGACGTATTGTTCCCATGACTAGCCCTGGAATTCTCCTGTGTTTGTAATCAAGAAAAGGAATGGAAAATTGAGACTGTTAAGTCATGGAAGTTATGGGAGCACTTCAACCAGGCCAACTATGCTCCCCCAGTCATGGACATTAATAGTAATAGACTTAAAGAATTGTTTGCTACCTTTTCTGATAGTACAGATGTATAGGCGTACTTGGGTTTAGTATGTAAAAGCAATGCTCTGTATATTTAGAAGGTTCAATGTTCATGTGTGCGCGTTGGTAGAGCATAGACTCCCCGCACACACAGCCTTGTTTACTTGCCATTTATAAATATTCCTTTTATAAATATTACTAAATTCAGATTGAGTTGAGACTTCATTTATAACATTATAGTTTGGGGCAAGCAACTAGAACAAATCAATAAGAACATTTTAGGCTTTAGACCTTTTATTAGCCTCCCAAGGGGAAGTATGCACTTTAATAAATATTAGTTGCTGTATGTATATAAATGAGGCAGGACGAATTGAGACTGATTTCAGAAAATATCTGGAAAAGATCAAGATCTTACATAATGTAGTTCAAGGTGACACCTCATGGGGTTTTCGAGATTTATGGAAGAAAATGACTTCTTGGTTACTAAACCTTTCTTAGCTTAAGCAGTTACTTATAGGAATATTAATCTTGCTTTTATTAGTATTCTTAACCTGTGTATTGGTACAGTATGCATTTTGGTGCTGTATAAAAGGCCTAGATGATTATGAAACCTGGAAGTGTAACCAAATCAAGCACCAAGTAAAAACTGGTAAGAATTTTATGAAAACTTTGAATCAAGGAGTGCTATAAGCAAAAGAATTTGCTTAAGATAAAGAAAAGGGGGGACTTGAGACAGGGAACAAGGTAAAGAATGTTGATTCCATAGGTCTTAGCTAAGGCAATTATATGTTAACGACCCCTAAGTTAAGGGAGTAAAAGTGTATATGCATAGATAATGGCACCAGCAAGAACTGGCTTGGACTGCTGAAGTCTGTCAAAGAAAGGAAAGGTCAGAAGTTTAGCAGCGAGGAAGACTTCTGGCCTTCATCAAAAGACCACCAGAGTATCTCGGATGACCACCCAAGGACTCCAGTACACATGCGAACAGGGGCAGGAACCCATGTTAATGATTCTTCAGAGACCTGATGAATATGCAAGACACTTACGGGAAATTAAATGAATATGTATTTATCCCACTAATAAGCACACTGCACATCCTTGGTGTGTGTATTTGGCGGAGCGATCCCCACACACACACGGTGCCATAATAAAGAATACCTGCTTAATAACTTTGGTTATTGAGTTTTCACTGCATCACTAGTGAGTTAATGAGGATTTGACAATTCTTTTCCGGGGCACTCTCCAAAGTCTATTGATCGTTTCATGTGCATTTTGAAGGACATAACACATAGATGTAATTCTTCTCAAAGATCTAAATTTGACTCAGGGCAACCAGTTTTTTTTCAAGCTCTTTTTCATGTGCAAAATAGGCATTCAGAGCTACCAGGCAATGGAGGAGCAGAAGAAAAGCAGAAGAAAAGCAGATGCAGTTTCAGCACAGATGCCTCCACTTCAGCAAAAGAAAATTTGGTGCATTATGAGGAAAGGAGCACTGAGATCAGAGGTGTGTTTCTATCCTACACCGCTGACATTTTACCAGGAGCCTGGGAAACCAGGAAGAAAAAAATCAAGGGATGGCTGATGATTTTGATGATATTTGCTCCTAACATGCCTCTTCATCCATAGTTAGGCCCTGCTCTCATCCTGTCCACGTAATGCAGCTCCTGTTGATACTGAGTCAGAAGGACATATGGTTTTCTCCCTGGTAGAGTAATAGAACCAAATCTGAAATATTTTATGAACGGATGAGCCAAACCTTTACTATGTTTAGTTAAATAGAAGGAAGTCTAGAAACTCTGTATCTCTAGCATCACCTTACCCACTAATTAGTCAGCCTTATCTATAAGACCATACAGAACTCTGTCCCAGGATGGGGGAGGAGGTCAAGATAACCCAGGCCTGGAGGATGTGTCTGAAAAAGAATAGGCGAGGAACTCATGGTATGCATAGGTCCTTTGATATGTAAATGACTTATCTTAGTATGCAAGCCTAAATTGACTATCGATGACCACCAGAAGACCCAGAAAGACCACCAGTAGAAACAAATGCACATGCATCCGGTACATTTACATATTTTCATGAGTAGGGAAATTGTATGAATATGTTAATTCTTTCTTGGAAATCTAATGAATATGTGTATTCTGTTTGTATATAACCCCCGTAGCTTGAACGATTCAGCACGCACACTAGGTGGAGCGATCCCCTGTGTGTCTGGCACAGCAATTAAAGAATGCCTGCTTTCTAAAACTCCAAATTGAGTCTTAAGAGAACTTCTTTGATCGACTTTTACAGTAACAGTATGGTCCATGCAATGAAATATTTCTGACTGACTTACCTCAGTACTAACTGCTTCATCTGAGGGATTGATCAGGACTACAGTTTCTAAGACATTACTTGTATGGTGAAGAATTTTCCGACCTGCAAGCACAGAGAGAAAAAAATAAAAGAAAATTTAAATTAAACCAGACATCCAGCATGGTTTAAACCAGCACTTTCCATGAGCTAGCTATATGTCCCACCATTCAGTAGCTCTCTGGTAACCAAGAGCATCACACACTGGCCACAACAGCTGAACTGGCTCATGTCTTCAGAAATACGTTATCATGTTGTCCTGTAATGGAACAAACTCTCCCTTGGAAAAGAAGAGGTATTGTCTATGTTTAAATAAACGTCCCTATAATCAAGTATCATTTATGTAGTACAGGACCAAAAAAGAATGTTTATCATTTAACCTAAGTTCCCTTTGATCTGGGACAAAATACTCCTTCTGTAAGAAACAATAGAAAGTTGGCAAGAGAAAGTAGCCTTAAATTGTCCTTAGGTGACATGTGACCATATATGGATTAAAAAGGGTTAGGGTACTTCATCAGAAAAGACCACCAAAGACCAGAAAGGACCCCCAAAGAAAAGAAGACATGCACAGAAGGTCCTGAAAAGGAGCCAAGAAGTATGACGATACATTTAATCAAGAAACTGGCATTAGGTGTGTGAAATGTGTTCATCTGATTTGTGTCAATATGGAACAATGCTAGGGCCGCATGATATGATGAAATGTGACATTCTGTCTTACATACCCTTGTGTAACCACAAGTCTAAGAAAAACAGAGTGGTTAATATAGATAGTTCTTGCATCTTGCAAAGGAATGGTCTAGCAATTCGTGTCAATAGGGGATTTGAAGGGTTAACATTGATGCCCAGGTCTGAGACTAGGAATCACAGAATCACAGAATTTCTAGGTTGGAAGAGACCTCAAGATCATCGAGTCCAACCTCTGACCTAACACTAACAGTCCTCCACTAAACCATATCCCTAAGCTCTACATCTAAACGTCTTTTAAACACCTCCAGGGATGGTGACTCCACCACTTCCCTGGGCAGCCTGTTCCAATGTTTAATAACCCTTTCGGTAAAGAAGTTCTTCCTAACATCCAACCTAAAACTCCCCTGGCACAACTTTTTCCCATTCCCCCTTGAAGGAGATAAGAGAAAGAAGGGTTTTGAGATAACTGCTGACTATTGCACAAGACACTGCAAAAGTCTCTGACATCTGGCCCAGAGACTACTAAATGAGGAGAGAGATAAGCTGAAGGACAACTGAAGAACAAAGCCTGGGAGGAAGACTACGAGCCTTCAGCACAAGACCCCCAGAGGGACCACCGGAGACTGATACGCATGCGCCAGTGGGAGGGTTCGGATTCCAGGAACTAATTATAATAACCCTTCCTTTTCTAAGTAGTAATGAATATGTATTAGCCTAGGAGCATAAAAACCAGCTGCCTGATGTAATAGGTGTGCGTCTTGGTGGAGCAGAGATTCCTGGCGCACCCAGCGCTGTTTGCTTGCCTCTATTCGTTTAATAAATTGTAAACTTTAATTGCAATCCTATTTGGGACTCAGTCATTTATTACAGGTGTGCTTGACTTGTGGAAAATCCAACGAGCACCCAGGCCTAAATAAGAGCAATAGCTCTCCTGAGTGTGTGAGAATTGGATTATTGCACACTGGGGAAAGGATCTGCTTTTTCATACAACAGTCCTAGGGGCCAGAAACTCCAGAAATTCAAGACAATTAAAAAAAAAAAAAAAACAACAACAACAAAACTAGCAATAGCAATGGGTCCTGCCTCTTCTCCCTGACAGGAGGACTCCCTGTTACTCACCTTGGTCTCACTGAACTGGTGTGGATCAGGGACTAGAGTAACTGTCACCAGCTGAGCGTATGGCCCTGTATTTTTATGGACTTATATACACCACAGATATAGCTGAGACTACACAGTCCTGTAACATGCACAGGTGGTTTTAAATAAAGTTTTCCAGGAAATATTAGCAGCTTAGCCACAGCAGCTGGAAAGCCAGCATGGGCTGCAAACTTCCCCTACAAGAAGCAAAGTGAATACTTGCAACATACACCTGCACTGCATGTTGTGAGAAACACTCTGTAGACAATAACTTAGGCTCAGGCGAGGATCTCAGTGAAGTAGTAATTTATTCGCAATTGCAATGGCGGGCACCCCAAAAGCAGGAGAGCTCATCTACTAGTTCCAAAACACAGTTTATATACTTTTTGATGACAGGACCCTCCCCTGTTTCCCCACTGAGTGGGTAATCCAGGTTCACAATCTATCTGATGCTTCACAGACAATGCATGGCCTTCAGTTGCCAGCCTGTTACATTTCAAATTTCTTTTGACATTTTTACTGCTTGAAGTGGTAATGTTTCTTCACTTATCTGACTTGACTTAACACCGCGATTTTCACCTAATTGTCCTAAGGAGTCTGGTTATCTGCATTTTACAAGGTCGCCTGCTAAGCTTTCTTATCACTGTAAGCATATCTCAGCACCACATTCCTTCCCTCTAAACAATGTAAATCTGCAAAAACAACATTTCTATTCCCACAATTCCCCCCTTTTCTTTTTTATAAACTGTTGATTTTTGCAAAACCTTTCTCTAAGGTGTAATTTGGTAGATTTCTTCTTCTTCTTTTCTTTCTTTGCTTTCCATCTCCTCATTATCACCTTATCTGAGTAAGGTGGTGGCTCCATGGTCATTTGTTTCAATAGTGCAGTTTCAGTTAACCACTGTACTAGTCCTCTTACACAGGGGATAATGCAGCAACCAATGGCTGTCAAAACTCCTACAACTACGATCAAGAATGTAAATATGCCTACTTTTTCTGCCAATTCACTGGCAAGGGTGGTAAGCCCTTGCAATGCTCTAGTTACTGAGCCATCTGGGACAGTATTGTTGGGTATAAGAGTGCAACAGTGGTTGCTCAGTATCACACACACACACACACCTCCTTCCTCCGCGAGCATCATATCTAATGATGTTCTGTTTTCCCAAGCCATTTTGCTGGTGGCATCTAGTTGTTCAGCGATTCCTCTCATCACATCCCTGGTATAATTGATGAATCTCTGCTGATTATAATAGATATAAGTAATCCAATCCACATTTTTATTGATTGTTACCCACCAGAACAGTGACTCAAACCCTGCAGCAATTTGATTTCTGGCTTTATGTTCATCCGGAACTCCTCTAGGTACGCCAATAGAATCTATGTATACTCTATCATCAAATGATATTCCTAAGCCTCTTTTACTTCTTCTGAGTAATTGCGATGTTTCTCTTTCAAATGCCAGGGTGAAGGGTATAGCTAATTGAACAAGTGCACAAGTGCCTCCCCAGTTAGATGGTAGGGTGGACCGTAAGATCTTCCCTCCACTGTACCACCAGAGATCTGCCCTGGGGATCTCTAGTCTTGAGCAGTTTCCCATCAAGTCCTTGGTAGCACAAGGCAAATTCTCCCAGATGCCAAGTAGCACTCACACCCTGCCGTGAGAGGCAGGCTGTATGGTTACCTATAGCTGTAGAGAATGCAGGGGGAACCCTGATATTGCTATCACGCAAGGGAGGGAACAGCAAAGAGAGACACTTACAGGCCTCACTTCCCCAGGCAGTCTTTTTTTGGTACAATGCAATCATACATCGCATCCCCTGGGAATCCTTGGTCCACCCCCATGGGAAGGGCACTATCTGGGCAATTGGTCATCCCGAGGCACAAGCATAGCAGTAGCTACGATTGAGACTGGACGGTATATTTGACCCATTCTATCCAGGCATTCACATCCCCATACCCTGTTTGAATCTCAAATGTTTGAACTGCCACATTTCAGAGGGCCTCCTGTTTTCTCTCCTGTTTTCTCCTTGAGTTTCTCCCTTTCTCTGATGGCAATAGAGGATTGTTTCCATACAGCTATTCTCAATCTGGCTGTTGGGTCTCTCCCAGTTATTTGTTCTCTCTGGTCAATTGTCGTTGGACATTTAAATCTCCACAAGCTAACACCTCACAAGCATCAAACATAACGGATTGTGGTACGTAACCCTCTGTCACAGTCACCCATATTTTGATGGGGTATCCCGTTTTTGCTATTATCTGGTCATGCCTTTTCCAAGTTGCCAATTGACCGAGGCCTTCTCTGAGGCCTAGAATCACTAAAAACAAAATTAGTAATCGATTTTTCCATGTAATTATTTTTAAACCTTATGTTTCCAAATAATTATTAATACAAAGAATAAGATGTACACTACTACTATAACAACCCCCCCCCCCTTGGGAGCACTGCAATTCACTATAGGTCTGTCCTTTCTCTCAATCACAAGTCACACTAGTTAGTTACCTGTGAAAATAAAAGGTTAGTTTACAATTGTAAGTTTTTATCCTGCTCAGAGTCCACTATGAGATTTTTCTCTTCGATTTCAACTTCCAACAAGTCTTCTGTAGGAACAGCTTCCCAGGTACTAGGGTTGACGGACTCCTTCACTCGAGTATAGTGAGTCCAACCTTTTTCCACAGTTCTTATGGCTGTTTCAGTGGTTAGTAATGGTCCTTCCCATTCAGGCCAGAGTTGACTCTTTCCAGGTCCAAATCAGGACCCGGTTTCCTGGGTGACTGTAGTGAATGGGGAACTCCAAATGTGGGGTTTGAGCCAACAGCCCACAGGTCCTGAGAGATGACAAAGAAGAGGACAACCCCAGAATACAGGTCTTAAGGAAACTCTCTTGTTTTGAATTGTGGTATCTCATCCCTCCTGCCCAGATAGAGCAATCTGAACAGCATCTCATGTGGTGAAATTCCTATATCCTTTCTTGGTGCTGTTTGAACCTGTAGGAGTAAGTATTTTACCCAAGGAAGTTGGGTTTCTAACACTAATTTAGTTAATTGATTCTTTAATGTCTGGTTCATTCGCTCTACCTTCCCAGAAGAGGAGGGGTGCCAGGGGCTGTGAAAATCCCACTCAATCTCTAAGGCCTGCTTTAACCCTGGCAGTAAAGCTTTACACCCATCCAGTCACGTGGTCAATTAGGACAAACAAGTAACTCAGTAAAGTCTACCTGTATACTTTGGAAAGGTCAAATTCC